TGTTGTTGTTGTTAAGTGCCGTTGAGTCGGTTCCGACCCATAGCGACCCTGTACAGGGTTTCCGAGGGTGTAAATCTTTACGGGAGTAGAAAGCCTCTTGGGAAAGTCAAAATAGAATTTATAGCCATTTTTACTTATGAGTTCAAATACAACTTTGTTCCAGATGTCTTCTCCTTCTCTTCCAGAGAGATGCAACACTTTCATTGACCCAACATATGACAAACTAGAATATGATTTGCACTTGCCACATCCTTTAATTTATTAGAATCATTTCATTTGCTGTTAGTTTCTGCTAAGTGCTCTGAATGCGACTGTTATGTTGTCAACCTGTTGTACACACAAATAACTACAGCCAATAAGGGACAGATGAAGGAGGAGGAGTTCACTTGGGGAAGAACACCTAAGAAGGCACAAACATTTCAGAATACAGCGTCTCAGACACCCAACTATTAGACTAACTTAGGAAAATATCTTCACACCCTAAATTTGATGCCACACTAGATCATATCTTAATATACATTAGTAACTAGTGTGAAGACCATACTGGTATTTGCAACATTTTCTTTTCCCTCATCAACCCAGTTTTTAATACTTACCTGTGAAAAACTGCCAGTTATATGGATTTTGAGCTGGTAAATAAGTTTCAAGTAAAAAGATACAAGCTCTGGTAGAGTGGAATGAGGCCCTTCACAGCCCTGCTGGCATTGATGCATGTAGCACAGATAAGGCTTGGTAGCAGCTTCCCACTTACAATGGCTCCATCAAACAGAGGTCCAAAAAATGGAACCTGTTGATTCAAAACAGAAAAACATTTAACGTCCAAAAGCCAGTAAAACTATAACCACAGATATGCGAGTAGCTGATTGAATTATGAGACCTACAATGACCATGCAAACCTATCACCCACTTGGTTGAAGCTGAATTTAAAAAGACACGGGCCAAGGGCTTTCAAATCAAGTGAAACAGGATTGTTCCACTCTACTGTTTTTCTCTGAACTCTTTAGTAAAACTTTTACTGACAAATTATCACCAGACTATTCTTTTTCATCTGTGTTATCATTTGCAAAAATGGCATTACTCTTTCTAAGTGCCACAGCACATGAGACAATATATAGTGCATCAATGTACACCTTTAACCTGGTTTCCTCTTGAAACCAGTTTTAGAATTGTTAATGTCCTGTCTTGATCCTGATACATGCTAACTTTTTAAAAGAGATGATGCACATAAAGTCCTATTTATAGTCTTCATTCTTCCTGAATCTTCTTTCCCTTTATTTCCAAAAGTTTGCATTATCCTCATTTTCTTCGACTCCTTTAACAGAGACTCTGCCTTCCTTTAGTGGACCCATTTCTACCATATGAATGATTGCTAGAGATTAAATTGTGAGGCCCCTAAATGTGTGTTAGAATCCTAACCCTATACCTGTTGGATATAATCTAATGTAATATAATATCTTTACATTGAATGCAATCTAATGTAATTACCTTCCATAATACAATCTAATGTAATGTAATCAATCCATCAGTTTAAATCATTTTCGTTTAGGGTGGATCCTAAACACAATTCCTTCTGAGTTATATAAAGAGAAGCCTAGACACTAAGACAGATACACACATGAGGAAAATACACAGGATCAGATGAGAGGGGAACTCTAAAGACTGATGCTACTAGAAGGTGAAAGAGACAAAGTGGAACTCTCCTTAGAGCCATACCCTGAATATTTATTTCAGCCTCCAGAGCTGTGAGAAAATAAGTATTTGTCCTTTAAAGCCAACCACTTTTGCTATTTCTGTTGTAGAAGTATTAGAGAACTAGGAAAATGGTGTAAAGTTTTGGCAACCATTTGGATTTCCTTCTCTTTTTTTCTGCCAAAATTTCCTTAACTTATTTTCTAATATTGAAATCATAAGCTTCGTAAGACCAAGAGCTGGATCTGCCTTGTAACTCTTGTACTCATTCACTCTCTTAATCACTTATTTATTCAATTCTCACCTTAGCCTGCCAAGTGGAGTCCCTGGGTGGTGTTAGCCAGGGTTTGGCTGCTAGCCAAAATTTGTTGCATTCACCCAGAGGCTCCTCAGAAGGAGCTATCTACTGCTGAGAACTTAGTCATTGGAAATTCTATGGAGCACAGCTCTACTCTGATACACTCAGGGAAACCATGAGTTGGAATGAACTCTACAGGAATTGGTTTGGTCTGGTGTGCCACGTTACTGACAGACACTGTTTTATTCAGCAGTGAACAGTAAAAAGTCCTTATCGTAACTGAGCTTACAACTTACTGGGAGATTACAGAGAATAAACAGGGTAAATAAACAAAATATATTTTATATAATAAAAGTGCTAAGGTGAGAAATACTATAGGGAAGAGCAATAAGAAGTATTGGAAATGGAAGTTACTAATTTTAAATCAAGGATGTACTTTGCAGAGAAGAGGACATTTCAATCCATCGTGAAGATATAACAATTACACATCTGACTACAACCAATAAAACTGTTTCTAAAGACACACCTATAAGAATATATAATTCTCAAAACAACAATGAGATATCAGCTCACACCAGCAATAACAAAGTAGAGGACAATAAATGCTGGCAAGGATGTTGAGAGACTGGGACCCTCCCACATTGCTGGTGGGGTTGCAAAATGGTTCAGTCACTCTGGAAAACAGTATGGTGCTTCCATTGGAAATATAAATACCTTATGATCCAGCAATTCTTCTACTTTGTATTTATTCACAAGAAATAAGAGCCATAACATGAGTAGATACATGTACACCAATGTTGATAGGAACACTATTCACTATAAATAGCAAAGAGATGGAGACTGCCTTAGTGCCCATCAATGGAAGAATGGATAAACAAACTGTGGTAAATACACACAATGGAATATTACGCTACCTTGAAGAATAACAGGGAGGCAGTAAGCCACCATGTAACATGGATGAAACTTGAGTACATTATGCTCACTGAAATTAGTCAGTCACTAAAGGAAAAATAAGGAGCTCTGGTAGTGTAGTGGTTACGAATTGGGCTGCGAACCGCAAGGTCAGCAGTTCAAAACTACCAGCTGTTCCATGGGAGAAAGATAAGGCGTTCTGCTCCCGTAAAGATTTACAGCCTCGGAAACCTTGTACAGGGTCGCTGTGAGTCGGAACCAACTCCACGGCACTTAACAACAACAAAAAAGGAGAAATAATGCATAAGCCCATTATTGTAAAAGCTTAAAAAATACCCACACTACAAGGAAAAAACAAAAACAAAACTTCTTTGTTGGTTACTGGGGGTTGGGTGGGTGGGAGAGTAAGGAGAGTGATGGGAGGGTAGAGCACAAGGTAGGGGATAGAAACAATAGTTCAGGTGTTGGGGGGGCAATATACAAGAAGGGGGATGGGAATGGAAGAACAACGCAGATAGGAGAACATTTAGGCAGGTTTGCATAGGCTAAATGGGACAGAGGAAAATAGCTCAACCTAGGAACAACAGGGCTCTGTAATACAGGGATTGAGGCATAGTCTGAATGGGTAAAAGGTGGAAATATTGTTAAGATGCTTGACTATCTTATGAATCTTGGTTTCCCTTGCCTACTATTGTAAAATAGACTCTTGAGGGGGAGAGAAAGGAATAGCCAGAAATATGATTATAGAAAGCTTCTAAGTCTGTCTTCAGCCTATAACTGATTAGAATACCTAAAAGGGGTGCTAGAACTTTCCCAGTGAAAAAGGCTTCCTGTGGAGCCTTTGTAGTATATAAGACCTTTGGTAGAATCCTGATCCCTATCAAGAATCTTCTGATTGAAAAGACAAGCAGACCAACCTGGAGCAGCTAGAGGAACGGAAGATACTTGAAAGAAAGACCAGCAGAAAAAGAATCAAAAACAAAAATGGCAGTCTGATTGACTACTACAAGAACAAGCAAGTTGTCCACAGGGGAGCCATCAAGGCAAGCAATCAAGTCCTTTCAGGGAAAACCCCCTTTCAAGACTGAAACTTAAAGGAAATAAGTGAACAGGCATGTAATCTTGCTGGCAACCACACTGGTCTACTGATGAAGGGAAGTAGTGGGGGGGAGGGCAGCAATGAAGATGTGGGCTGAGACTGACCACATTCAATAGACTCCCGTCAACCTGGAGTATGGTGAGACCTGGGGACTCCTGACAAGGACATGGCCACAGAAGGCTAGAGCAGAGAGTAAAGCATCCAGCTGATATGAAGTGAGGGGAGATACACAAGAATGCCCATACTTGCAGATAGTAGCCATTTGACCTAGCTTCAATGGCTGCATGATTAGAACTTGACTAGAGGAGAAAAGAAAAGAAAAGAAAAATTTGGATAAAGAAAACAAGTGTAATTCACTACAATTTGATGAACTTGATCTATACTAATGGATGTAGTAGCTTAAAATACCAACCAAGAGGGAAGGAATCATTACAGCAATGATCATTCCCATCTCCTCTGTACACAGGTTTGATAGGGATGAGCAACTTAGACATTGGCTACCTAAAATTGGAGGGGGGGATGTTATAAGGGAACAAAGTGACTGGCTTACAAGTTTTTAAGAGGGAGTACAGGGGAAGATAGACTCTTCACTGAATGGTTTTCAACCTGCCAAATGGGGCTGGTGAAAGGAGATGGGAATAGGCCTCTTGTGGTTCAATTGTAATTGTTATCATGACTCACTGCAATTGTTGTAACTGTAAAGATAGATGTTTTGTAGCAAAAAGAGGGGAGTGGTTGATCTTGCAGTCCAGGAGTGGAGGACTCTGGGAACGTAAAGGGAGAAGAGTGGGAGTGGAGTGTGGGACCCCATTCAGAGAAGCAGTGACATCAGAGATGATGACCTGGAGAGATAGAGTAGCTGGGGACTCCAAACTCATGGAGGAAGAGAGGCTGTGTGCTGGCAGCTGGGGTTGGGGGGTGGGGTAGGCAGGCATGCAGGGTATGTCCTTTGGGTGTCTGAATGATTGCATATTCCTGAGTGTTTTGATGTACATCAAAAAAAAAAAAGCAAATACTGTTGAATGATGATGATACATAGAGGAGATTGTAATCATTGCAATGAAACGAAATACGAAAGGATGAGTGTAAAGCTGATGGTCTCCCGTGTAAACCATCACTTAATTCACAATAAAGCTTTAAAAAAAAAATACAACCAAAAAGAATATACAAATTCACAGAACCAGAGATAACACTCCTTCATTAAATAATATAGATATTTCTATATAGTTATAGAAATATTGAACAAAATACTAACCAATTTCACCAAACCATTGTAAAATACACATTTTATTTTTCCAGCTTCACATGGAATTATTAATGAAAACAGGCTTAATCCACTGTAGATATAATTTTCAACTCACAGTGACTCTCTAGGACAGATTAAAATTGCCTCATAATGCTTCTAAGACTGTAATCTGTACAGAAGTAGATTGGCACATCTTCAGTGGAGTGGCTGGTGGCTTTGAACTGCTGACTTGTGGCTATCAGTCAATGCCTAACCACAGTGCCACTAGGATTCCTTAAACAGGCTTTGTTTTAAAATGTATCCGAAAATCTCTGCTATTCCATTCATCAAGAAGTAGAATTTAATTCTCCTCCTTTACAGTATAAACTAGACATAGTAACTCCCTTTTAATGATTAGAATGTGGCAGAAATGACATCATTTCAAGAGTTAGGTCATAAAGCACAAAAACATCCAAAGTTGCAGATAGTACACTTTTGACGTAGCCTTGATAGCTTGATAATCAGAACTTGACTAGAGTTAGATAAAATGAAAAAAATAATTTT